AGAATAGAATAGAATAGAATAGAATAGAATAGAATAGAATAGAATAGGATTCTTTATTGGCCAAGTGTGATTGGACACACAAGGAATTTCTCTTGGTGCAAATGCTCTCAGTGTACATAAAAGTAAAGAGACATTCGTCAAGAGTCGAGAATCATCAGGTACAACCAAATCTCAAGAACCGTCAAGCCTACAAACTTAAAATTTGGCACGCATGTTCCTCTTGGCTTCTAGGTGCTCACTGAGAAAGGATTTTTCCAAATGATCATCAGAGCATTAGTATTTCCTATATAATTATTATTAACACGCTCTGATGCTAAGGAGTTCTACTCCGCCTCCCCACCTGAAAAGAAAATCTCTTCCCAATGCAAAACACAAGCAGAGGAGTTTCAGTTTCACAGCACCAAGCACCTTTAGTACAGAACAGTTGAGCTAAGCCCCGCCCAGGCTCCTTGCTGTCTCGTTGCTCACACCGCAAATACTGTTTTAGTTCCCAAACAGCCCTCCACTCTCTCACACATTGACAGGAGGCTAGCCAGATGAATCCCGATGGATGCTGGTAGGCAGAGGCAGAATTTTTCCTCCCTTATTTTCCTCCCCAGAAACATAAGACTGAACACGTAGTTTCATAGCGAAGCACGGGTATCCTGCTAGTATTATATATTATAACATTACATATTGGAACAGAATTAGAATACTATAATCTATTCATGTTTTTCTGAATTCCCAGGCGGGCTTTGCAGTCAACTATGATTAAAGATGGGCTCATACCATGGTTGGTGGAGGCCCTGAAGGATACAGACTCCATGTCCGATTACACCCTGGCCTACTCAGTCGCTTTGATCATGAACCTCTGCCTTCGGAGTTCAGGTATTCTGTGCTACTGGGTGGGTGGGATTGAAAAGAGACCTTGGAGAAAGCGTGTATCCCTATGGAGCATCAACTATCCCTGTGGAGATTCTCAGTCATTCAGGCCATGGCTATCCCAAGCTTGCTTTTTCTTCCTGGTTTTTCTTTGAAGACATTTCACTTCTCACGTAAGAAGCTTCTTCGGCTCTGACTGGATGGCGGGGAATGGAAGGATTTATATTCCTTGCAGACAGCTGGTCGTTTGCCTCCTTTTTAGAGGGTCGTTGAGGTTTTATCGGTGTCCCCAGCAGAGCAGCGCAAATCGGTACGGAGGCTCCTTGGACAACAACACAGACTTATCCCCCACAGCCTGCACCTGCCTTCAACCTTGAAGGGACCCAGGGCAGAAAAAAAAAACATCCTACAGCCAAGAAGGCCCCACACCTATTTGCACTACTCAAGTGACCCTGAGGACACAGATAAACCTCCCAAGGGCTTCAACGACCCTCTAAAAGGACGCGAACGACCCGCTGTCTGCAATTGCTGATTATTTGAAAACTGCGGGAACCTTCGGAGTTGGTTTAACGTCAGGGTTCCAAGTAGTAGACCCATAGCAAGCAAAACGCCAAAGCGGGGCGATTCCTCAAAAGAATGGCTTTATTGGATATATCCTAGGGGCACAGATCTGGTGAAAACCGACTCTGAAGGTTCCTGCGGTTTTTCACCTAATTAAAAACGTTTGTCACTTTCTCAGTCACGGGGTCCAATCCCAGCTCCATCTGGTTGCCTGTGGTGTGGCCCTTCGGCCACCACCCCTCCAACAGCCAAATCAGAAGAGAGGGAGGAAGCATGGAAGCCAGAGAGAGGGAGGGAGGGAGGGAGGGAGGGAGGGAGAGAGAGAGAGAGAGAGAGAGAGAGAGAGAGACTCTGAAGATAAAAAGCAGGAGAGAATAGATATGGCAGACAACTAGTCATCTCCCGGCTGGATGGTCTTGTTTGCCGGAGCCTGGAGATGTCACTCCTCCCTTTTCAGACCAGGTGTGAGATGTCCTTGGTTCCCAGGAGAAAGGATTTTGTTTTGGCTACAAAATCCCAGCTATCTTAAGATCCGCCCCCTCCGTAGCCCTCTGTTGTGGTCCGCCGGCAGCCTGCAGAGACAGCAGCAGAGTCGGACAGTGGGGAAGAACACGGGCCAATCCGGGAGTCTGGAGGAGGGCTCGGACGAGGGTCCTGCATCCGATGCAGAGCTGGGGCCAGGGCCATCTGCTTGACTCCAGAGCCTCCAGAATCTGACAGCAGCGAGGCAGAGGAACAAGGGGAGCCTGTCCCCACTGCACGCTTGCGCAGAGCTGCCAGAAGACAAGTAGAGTTAAGACAAAAGGGGCGACTCAGGAGCAAGGCTTGGAGGTGATTGCTCCTCCCATAAGACATAAAGGGCGAGCAAAGGGACAGGAGCCTTTGCAGGAAGCAACTTTGTTTTTGCTTTGTTTAGATAAAACCTTGAAGCTCGGGGGGTGGGGACATTGTACTCCGTTTGGCTTTTTTACACTTAATTTGGCACTTTAATTGTTGGCAGCTATTCAAAGGAGAGAAAGGTGGGTGCTTATCTGAAGGGACCGTTTGGCACACATTACGAGCTGGGAATGAACATAATTCCTAGCACTGAAATAAAACAAGAGTTTGTTTGGACAAAGAATGTGCTTAATTACGGTCTCAAGCCTTGGTCAGGACACCCTTGGCTCCAGTGTGGCAACACTGAAGCTTGCAAAATGGCTTCCGTCAGGTCAGCTTCAGGGTTGACAGAAAGACTATCAATCCTTCCATTCTCCCCCATCCAGTCAGAGCTGAAGAAGCTTCTTGGATGAGAAGCGAAACGTCTTCAAAAGAAAAAGAAAAAACCAGAAAGTCCAGTTGCCTCATGAAAATAAAAAAAGCAACTTGGGGACATCAACGCTATGCTTGACGAGGAAAGTAATCCTCAACTTACGACCCAAATTTCCATTGCTAAGCAGGACGGTTGTTCAGCAAGTTTCGTCCCATTTTACGACCTTTTTTTGCCTCCGTCGTTGACTGAATCACTACAGCTGTTTGACGTTAACGTAAGATGGTTGTTCAGGGAAACTGGCCTCCCCAGGACTTGGCTTCTTGGGGGAATTACATGACCTCGGGACACGTCCGTCATAAATATCAGACAGTTGCCAAGTATCTGAATGTGGATCACGTGAAAAGGGTTGTAAGGGTGAGAAAAGGTCACGTCATGTTTTGATTGTAACTTTGAGTCCGAGGTCTCCAAACTTGGCCACTTTTCAGACTTGTGGACTTCAACTCCCAGAATTCCCCAGCCAGCCGGCCGTGTCTGTTTCTTTTTCTCTCTTAAAATCTCCTAAAGTGGAGAGATTGCAGAGGAAGGGATCGCAAGAGAATAAGCTATGCTGGCTGGGGAGAATCCTGGGAGCTGAAGTCCACAAAGTCTTTAGTCTAAAGGTTGAGGCAGAGGTCTCCAAACTTGGCCACCTTAAGACTTGTGGACTTCAACTCCCAGAATTCCCCAGCCAGCCGTGTCTGTTTCTTTTTTTCTCTTAACCTCCTAAAGTAGAGAGAGATTGCAGAGGAAGGGATCACAAGAGAGTAAGCACTGCTGGCTGGGGAGAATCCTGGGAGTTGAAGTCCACAAGTCTCAAAGTGGCCAAGTTTGGGGACCCCTGCATTGAATGGTCACTAAACAGATGATTGTAAGTTGAGGAGAAGTTACAGTTCAGGCAGTAGGCAGCTCCGCAGACCGTTTTGGGGAGGAGGCTCTCCGGTGAGCCAGGTAGCGCCCCGTTGCGTCAACTGCACTGCATTGTTCATTTGTTCAGCCCATGGTCTTTGAAAGATGTACCTAAGGGCTGTTCTACTAACCCTGGGGTCTTGTGGGTGGGTGGGTGGCTGTTTGTGGAGTTGACCCCCTGGTACCTATGTCTACTTTCATTTTTTTTTTGTCTCCGCAGGGAAGAAGATGTGTGTGAAAATTGCAAACGAGATTCTCAAAGTTCTCTCGGACCTCCTTGGCCACGAGAACCACGAGGTACTGCCACAGTGAAGATTTTTGAGGGTTGGTTGAAGAAGACCTGTTTTTGGGGAAACCATACAGAGCATGTCTCGCTTATTCCAAATACAGTATCTTCATCTTGGATGTCTTGATTTCTGGCTGATAATCTTGAGGCCAAATGTAATTCTTAATCTCATAATATCATCGGGATTCTGTGAAGATGTTGTTGTTGTTGTTGTTGTTGTTCTTCTTCTTCTTCTTATTATTATTATTATTATTATTATTATTATTATTATTATTATTAATTCTAATTCTCCTTCTCCTTCTTCTTCTTCTCCTCCTCCTCCTCTTCCTCCTCCTCCTCCCCTTCTTCTTCTTCTTCTTCTTCTTCTTCTTCTTCT